AGGTATTACATACCATGGTAAGTAAGATAACATTAGTCTAGCTATCTGGGACTGACTTGAAGATTAACGTCTAACATTAGAAAATAGAAAGTAGAGTAAGTAGAAAGCAATTCACTGTGACATGTCACTGTAGGGATTCTTAAGTGGATGATGTCCCAAACCACTAGGCCACCACTCCCCTTCTTATAATATTAATACAGTTTGTTAAAACTTAGACTTCTCCTTAAATTTTAATTGATAAAAGCTGAAAGATATTCGAAAAAAAAAGGAAAATACAATAAAACTATGAAAATGTCTGTTGAACTTTTACAAACACATTATAAATTACTTTCAAAACCCTTTTTCTGGCTGAGCAACTTAATTTTTTATATTGTGACAAATTTCTCTCCGTATTTTTCTCTACTTTAATGCATTTTAAAATTGTTCTGCTATCAAACGAAGATGCAGATGATTGAATCAGACGGAGTCGGCTGCCTTAGAAGATCCCTTCTGTGGCAGAGAGACAGAAAATGAACAAAATGTTTTTTTCTCTTCATGTTGTCATGGATACTGGCTGAAGAGGTTAGTGAGATCACCTGCTATTTTATGTGTTTCATCAAAATCAGAATGAATGAAAACCATCAAATGTGAAGGAGAACATCTGAAAGACGTCTTTCAGTTTTTATCTGAAGAGCTCAAAATTAGCAACACATTCAAATGAAAGACTTCTTTTTGTCTCTTTAGCAGAAAACAAATAAAGCTGCAAAACCTTTGTGACCTTGGTTTGCTGAGGTTTAATTCTTTATTTTTCAAAAGGCAATTAAAAAAAAAGCTGAGATTTAAAACCACTAAAGGTTTTGGCCTGAAGTGGGCGACTCATGTGATCAAGATAATCCTTGTAGATAATCTCCAGAAAGCACAAAGAACAGAAACATATCAATGCTCTCCAAACCTGTGGATACCCAAACTGGGCGAAATCCAAAATACATGCAAAATGCAACATAACGGTTAGAAGATCAATCGCAAAAACATCGCCATCCCTTATGTTGCTGGAGTCTCTTAAAAACTCAACAGGATTTTCTCCAAACACAAAATCCCAGTACATTTCAAACCAAACAGACCCTTAGACAGAGAGTAGTGCCTCCTAAAGACAAACTCCCAGACCTAAGATAAGCAGAGTGGTGTCTGCAGTTCAATGCAGTGAGGAATGATCTGATCTTTATATTGGAGAAACCAAACAACCTCTCCACAGATGCATGGTCCAACACAGAAGGGCGCCCTCTTTGGGAAAAGACTCTGTGATGGATCTACATCTTATGGACAAAGGAAATTCTTTGGAGGACCAGAATGTTTATATTCTGGACAAAGAAGACAGGTGGTTTGAAAGGGGCGTAAAGGAAGCCATTTAAGTTAATAAAGAAAAACCCTTACCGCTATCATCGCAGCCCCAGCCCCTTTACAGGAGAGCGGAGGACCTTGCCTATTCAGCCAGGTCAACAATTCCCTTTAATGACCCCCCATTTCAGAGACATAGACAGGTATGGGCAGGCTAACAAAAGAAACCAAACGACCCCCATTCAGTTTGCATGTTTTCAAAACTAAATCAAGACTTTGTTGGGCTGTTCTATAAAGCCTGGAACTCAACGTTATTTCTGACATTTTGAATTGAAAAAGCTTCCTGGATGGAAGAGAAACGTCTTCAAACTTGGAAACAAAGTCCAGTGGATTTTTTAAATTTTCTTTTTTTTGGAATGCATCTCCAGAAGTTTTCGTGACACTCAATGCTTGAACAGATGTTGACGGTGATCATTCCTGTCAACCCATGCGAGGTGAAGAGTGCTGCAGTTCTGTGTTTTGGCCATAGGGGGCAGCATAATTAGAAAACTCTGTCATTCCTGTTTAAAGTCATAGAAAGTCCTATTTAAATGTCAAATCATTCTGGCTTAAACATGTATATATATGTACTCTTTATCAGACGAAATTTGTATTTTAAAAAATCCTGTCTTAAAATCTGTGGGGGTTTTTTCGTTATCTTCTGCAGGCCAGTTAGTTCTACGTCAGCCTGAAGTCCTAAATTCGGCCAATCATATATCAATGTAGCCTCGTGAGACCATCCTGATCTCGCGAGCTTTCAAGGTTTCACTCGCAGATCAGTCTGGAGACTCTCCGTTAA